GGTACCAGCAAACTTTTGCTACCTAAAAAAAATATTTAAATATATATTTATTTATTTATTTTAATATAAATAATAATAATAATAATAATAAATTACAATTCGTATACATTTTAAATTATAAATATTATTATCGGAATAAATGTAATGAAAGAAAAAAGAAAAGAAAAAAAACTTATTAAATATTAATACACGGTTCTAAAGTTTCATTATCATTATCATTATCATTATCATTATTATTATTATTATTATTATTATCATTGTTAATTCATTCGTATGTATTATTATTTTAATTAGTAATATGAAAATAGTTTCAGTTTCATGATTTTTTTTTTATCATCCGTGAAAACATTAAAAAAAAAAAAAAAGGCGAACCGTCGTCCATTTTGATTCGATTATAATAATAATGAAAGCATAAAAAAAAAAAATTAATATTAATAAATAAACCTCCTGTCCATCCCTCCCCTTATCCCTTCATCCCCTCACCCTCACCCCTATAAAAAATTATTTAAAATTATTTTTAATTAATAGATTTTTTTACAATAAGTAATTTTTTTTTTTTTAAATTTATTAAAAATGATTACGATGGTTAATATTATTATTAATAGATTATATACATATATGTATATTATTATTTATTATTATTATTATTATTATTATGTATTACGAGTAAAATTAATTTCAATTAATTTTTTTAATTTGAAAATATTGATAAAAACTTTCTCTTCAGTTTATTTTTTACACATATGAGTAATAAAAATAAATTTTTTATTTTATTTTTATTTTTTTTCCGGAGTTAAGGTTAATAATTTTATTTTAGTGTCAAATATCAGGTACTAATACGTACCTACCTACGTACCTACCGTTAATGTAAACACATTTTAACCACATATAATAATAACCTATGATAGAGAAAATTGTCAATATAGGAAATTGTATAACATAAATGATTTTTTTTTTTTGTTGATACAAACAGGAAATCTAGTTTAAAAGATTACATGGCTTAAGGGAAACAACAACAACAACAACCAAAAATTAAGGAAACAAACATTGACAAAATTTCATTTTTAAAAAAATTATTATTATTATTATTATATGGTTTTTTTTTTGTATAGAAATTTCCAAAATCGAAATAAAAAAAAATAAAAATTTCATCCGTTTGTAATTTTCCAATCGAAATTAATTATATTTTTATAAAAAAAATAATAATAATGATGATGATAATGATGATGAAAGATTCGAAAAAAAAAAAAAGTACCTGAAATTCGTATATACCGAGTGAACGGAATCTGACAAGATCGATTTTAAAAGACTAATTTAAAAAAAAAAAAAAGAGAAAAAAAAGAGAGAAAAAAAAGAGTGGGGAAGGAGAAAGAAAGAAAGAGAAGTCCTACCTGACCATTCCAAAGCAAAATGCCTAAAAATTATTAAAAAAAAAAAAAAAACTAATAATAATAATAATAATAATAATAATAATAACAACATCAATATTGCGATATACTTTCACGTGGAACTAGTCGGAAATGGCAATGTGGAATGCTTGAATGGGATCTCAAGGTATATAACTCAAACTCGCGCAATGTTTCATCATAACAGTTCTAGTTGTTCGAGTTAGAGGACCTTACTCAAAGTGCTATGGCTTCCAAGGTAAGAATTATTATTATTATTTTTTTTTCTTTTTATTTTTTTTTATTTTTTTTATTTAAAACCGAAAAAAAAAAAAATTTTTTTTTTGAGTTTTTGAATTAAAAAAAAAAAAAAAAAAATTGTCAATATTTTGAATTTGAGTGATAAACCTTTCTTTCAAATTGATAAGAAAAATTTATATTTTCTTCTGCTGTCGTTGTATGGCATGGATGCCAATCATGTTGATGACCGACAGCATTGGTACACTTTTTTAAAAATGACAGAATTTTTTTTAAAAAAAGAAAAAGTTGAAAAAATCACTTTCTTCTGCTTTCTTTTTATTTATATCAATATCGGTGGATTTACACGTTTTCATAAAAAAATCCGGATTGACAACATTTTCAACATCATATACATTTTATTTTAGATCATTTTTATCGCCCTTTCTTTGGCTGTTGCCGGATATTGTGATGATAGTCACATAATCGCCAAAAGAGGTCTTGATCATTTGGACGGTGGCGGATATGAAGGAGGTTTCGGAGGCGGTTACGGTGGCGGATACGGTGGCGGTTTGGAAGGAGGTGCCGTAAGCGTTCCAATCGCTCAACACGTCGAAGTCAGCAAACCGGTTGGAGTACCGATCGTCAAACACGTTGGAATCCCTCTTCCACATCCAGTACCGGTCGCCGTCCCACATCCAGTACCAGTTGCCGTACCACAACCGTACCCAGTTCACGTTGCCGTACCACAACCGGTACCCGTACCAGTTTACAAGACCGTTAAAGTTCCAGTCGAAAAGCCAGTACCTTACCCAGTTGAAAAACCATACCCAGTTACCGTCGAAAAACACATTCCAGTCCCAGTACCAAAACCATACCCAGTTAAAGTTCCAGTCCCAATCTACAAACACGTTTACCACAAAATCCACCACTAAGGTGATGATGCCAAAAAAAAAACATCAGAAAACAAAACAGAAAAAAAAAAAATTTTTTTTTTTTTTAAAACTACAACCAAACAATCGACTGAAAAAAAGCAGCCATATTAAAAGTCTGAAAACGTCTATTTTCTCTCAACAAAAAAAAGGATGCAATGATAAGAGATAACCTTTGGAGTGACAATAGCACGTATCAGGTCCGTCCTAATGTTTCACTCGCATTATTTACAAATTCTTCGGTGATGTACTAGTCTATTAGTTTTAAGGGTTTTTTTATTTTTTTCCATTGTCTTTGTTTGTTTATTTTTTTTTTTTGCTAAATGTTAATTTCATATTTTT